GGGCGAATGAGAGTCAGTCGCTGGTACATAATTCTATGCTTTATATCATTTATTAATTCTGTGCGATGTACAAATAGTAAGAGACATTATATAATAAAAAATATCGGATATTTTGATTCATTTTTTAGCCATTTTCAACAAAAGTAATGTTATATTAAATAAATAAAAAAAAATAATAATAACTTTGTATAATAATAATAACTTTATATAATAAAAATACTAATATAATTCTAATAATAATCAATATTGTTAAAAGCATATTGTTAAAAGCATATAATAAATATGTGGTTTAATTGCGATTTCAATGCCGAGTGATGTTAAAGTTTCTATTCTAAATAAATGACACATCCTCGAAATTACATACCGGTAGTTATTTTAAAGTAACAAAAAATTTTGCATGGTTTTTTATCATAAAAAGTCAACGCAACAAACAAATAATAAATTTTATAAAATAAAAGATGTTTGTAATAACGTCAATAATATTAAAAATGATATGAAAAGAAAAATATATAAATTTGTTTTAAAATGTTCATTTAATCGACAATCACTAAGTAACAAGTCCTGTTATGTCAAATATATTAAAGATGTGTTACACTTATTTTCATTTACAATGAAAAAATTATAAAAAAAATTATAGATTATTTTAGATTTAAAAATAATACAAAAAATTTTACGGCAGTTTAAAACCTCGATTAAAAATTAAATGCAAAGTAAAAATGTGTTTTGATAAAAGTATAATTAAGAAATGACAAAAAAATCTCTAGAACTTCATATATAAGTATTTTATATATAAGTATTTTAATGTTATTAAATTTGTTCAGAATGTGTGAGTGTCGGCTAATCGCGTAAAAAGTTCGGACATGAACTCCGCAATATGACGGTTTAACAGATAAACTTCGTCCGTATTTCTCGATTGACGATAAATACGAACGAACACCCGAAATTCGATAACGCGAGGATCGGCGTACATCTTTCCCCTCTCTCTAGCGTGTGATAGGAGGCCAATGGCCGCATGGAAACGGAATGAAAATATTGTTCCACGAAGAGACATTTCGGCGATGTTACGCGCCCCACGAAACGTATCCGACTCGAGGGTGGAAAATCCAGCCGAAACGAATTCGCGAAAATCCTCTCTGGGGAATGGACGTCGAGAGGCGCGCGTCCGCCTTCTCGCAGTTTCTGCGAGAGGAGTCTTTGACACTAGAGACACTTTAAAAACGTGCCGAGACTGCCTGAGAACGGGTATGCACTCTCGCGGTAACAACTCGCTCGTGCTCGAACGGAAATTCTTTCGTTTTTATTAATGCGGAATTACTTCCCCTCCGTCAAGAAAGAGAATTCACCTCTCTTCGCGACCTCGCCGCGTCGAAAATCGCATTCGAGTTGCGATCAAATGAGATTTTTATCTTCGCCCGATCGTCAAAGAGATGCTTTCGCATCTCAGAAGTGTAAATCTATTCACCACTTTTGCTGATAACTAAAGAATATTTAAATTATAATATATTTCATGACTAAATTATGCAGATCTTATATAGTTATAATAAATCTAGATATGACAAATGAATTCACGGAGAAAAATATCTGATCACATCATAACCATCCGTGATTACATTATCTTAATGTATATTTTATATTATATATTCTATTCATTTACGTTGCTTAAGAATTCTTCTAATAACTCTTTGACGTAAATTGTAATTACGTAATTAAGAATCCGTCAGATATGGTTTGTATGAAAATATCTCGCGAACTTGATAGTGCTCGGTTAAGTACGCGATTCCTATTCTTGGCGAGTAATATTATCTTCGGTGTGACAAAGACACGCGGTGTAACTGTTACTCACGATCGCGCGGGAAATCCAGTTTCCGGAGCGGAAACTTTCGCCGTCACGGCGAAACACTCGTGACATGTCGCGTATTTTACGTACGTGGCGAGAATACGCGCACGTGCTTGGTCACGACTACGTGGCGGAAAAGTTTCGGATGAAAAAAGGCGACATTAATTATTATCGTTTCTCCCTCTCCCGGGGCGCGGGATGCGATCGACATCGCAAGACGAACGTTGAGCAATAACGTCGTCGATCGTCGCCTCATCATTAAATCC